GAAATTCGTTCATTTTTACCAATAATAAGTATATTTACGTATTAAATAAGTGTGCAAAAACACACTTATCAGATAGCAATAAATTCTGGTTTGGAAAGTATGTGGAATACTGGAACCGTGGCAAGACTGGCCACATGAAGAAGAATTATAAATCACCAAAGAATAAAGAAGAAATGAATAATGACATTGCTAATGCGATTATTGAAAAGGTACAAGATGTTTTACTCTTTTCGATTGACATCCTATTGATTTTTAGGTGATGGATTTAGGAGCTTATTTTCATAGCACTAAACATCATGAGATTATGAAAAACCATGTTGCTGGGAATTGTGGAAAGGTATATCCTGCTGATGGAGAACCTATGAATATTGTTGGTATTGGTGACGTTAGTTTGAGGATGTTAAACGGGTCTGTAAGAAAAATTCGTAAGCTGGAACATGTACATAAACTGATGCTTAATCTAATTTCAGTTAGACAACTTGATGATGAAGATCATAATGTGACTTTTGGTACTGGTGCTTGGAAAGTTACTAAGGGGGGCCATGGTTGTTGCTCGAATAAATAAGTCCGGAACTCTTTACATCACTTCCAATTGTAGAGACATGATTGAGAAGGGAATGAAAACACTTCAGTCTAAAGGAAATATATCTGGGTTGAAATATGTTGAATACAGTTTGTGTGAAAGCTGTATTTTACGCAAGCAGAAAAAGGTTAATTTCTCTACAATCGAAAGGGAGTAAAGGCTACAAGATTTGAGTTTCAACCTAGAAGGTCTAGTAGAACTGTTGGACCTCCACAGAGATATTCTTTAGCATCGTATTATATTTTATTGAATGATATAGATTAACCAAAAAGTTATAATGAAGCTATACAAGTTGATGAATCAATCAAGTTGGAGTTAGCCATGAAAAATTATATAGACTTGTTATTGTCCAATCAAACATGAAAATTGACAGAATTACCAAAATGGAAGAAGGTTTTGCATACTAAATTGGTTTACCAGCTAAAAGTAGGGGTGGACAAAACCTGACTCAACCCGTCAAAACAGCCCAAACCGAACCACCCGACCGGTTTGGTTTGGTTTTTTTGTTATTTTTTCACGGGTTGGGTGGGTTGGTTGTGTAGGTGAGTTGTGTTGGGTTGGGTTATGAGTTAACTCATACAAATCAAATAAACTCGCTCAACCCAACTCGACTATATTTATGAACTTTATAAGTGTTATGATATTGATTCGAAACTTTTAGAATAATATTATAAGACTTGGATAGAAAGTATTTTACGAAAAATAGTACAAGCAATACACATTTAATACAAAAATATTTTAATTACCAAAAATATTTCTTTGCTTCATATAATTTAATATCAATATGTCCATGTAATATTTTCGGGTATGAAATGTCAAAATAATTCAGATTTTTTTGTTCATTACTACTATGGAGATCAAATATTATACAAATCAGGAGTCAATTATAAATCCTTCCAACCCGACCCGCATACTTTAATCTTTGTTGACAAGTTGTCTCAACTCGACCGATACTTGATTGTGTTGGGTTAGGTTAGGTTGTGTTTCAACATTTACACGAGTTGTGTTGAGTTAAATTATGATCAAACCGATCATGTTTAGTTGAGTTTGTGTTGAGGCAAAAAATGACTCAAACCAACGCATGCCCACCCCTAACTAAAAGTAGAAAATGATGGAATCTTAAAATTTGAGCTGACATGTTGACAAAAACTGTTTCGAAGTAGGAGATTGTTAAGTTGTGGAGCCTAATCCATTAAAGAATATTACAGCAACGGAAGAAGACGTGTTTTCACATTGAGACATGGTTTCGTTGCTTCTCTTTTGCCTACAAATAATCAAACTTTGTGCCATTTGAAAGTAACTCCCTGTTTGATAATCATTATTTCAAAAATCTTTATATTACATACTCATTTTTAACTACATATTTACACAATAAGATATTCTACACGTAAATCTAAAATTTTTTCTACATTTTAATCACATTATCCAAAAATTCACTATTCAACTTTTTTTTTTATTTGCCAAATAATGGCCATAAAACATGGACTAATTGAGATTTAATAATTTCACTATCAAATTTAAAATTCGACTCCTATATTATACTTTTCTTCGTTTGTCTCCTTCAACCAAATTGTTTTTCGTTTATCTGAGTTGAGGTTTAGATTGAATATAATAGTTGTACACTTATCTTTGGAGCAATGATATGCACCTGTTGGGTTTAGATTGAATGTAATAGGTGTACAATTATCTTTCGAGCAATGATATGCACCTTTTAACACATGTCCAAGTGTACAGGTAACACATCATTCTCTCATTTGGCCCCGATTAATTTGATGTCATAATTTTTAGAATAATGTTTTTTGAAGAATGTATGATTAAAAAGAATGAAAATATTTTGATTTATGTGTAATATTATTTTATTAAAAAATGTATGGTTAAAAAAAAGAGAGAAAAATTTATTATAAATTAATCGAACGGGGGCCATATGTCAACATCCGAATTTTGCCAAATTTGAAATTCGATGAAGTTTAGCAAAATAATTGAAGGAACTTGTATGCACAAACCAATAAAAAAAAAAAATAGAGATTTAAAAAATTAAAGATTGATAAAACAGTCTGAAAAGATTATGACTTGCTAATCTCGTCAAGAGAGAATCCAATCATTTGATCCAATGGCCAAGATCATAGTGTTTATGTACGTGTATTGTTTCCTTGAGTGAGTTACAGCATTAATGAAAATGATGGAAGTCCAATCAATCAATCAAGATCGTCGTACAGAGTTCCACATGGATGCATATCGCTCTTCCATGTTGGCTGAAATAATACTTGCATCTTTGGAGTAGTTCAAAAGGAGCAAGCAACATATATATGCTAAGCTATCCTTGGCTAAACTTTTCCCGCTGCTTTCAATGCAACGTGTCCTTATTAGAACAGTAGAGAATTGAGACAAAAACCACTTGCTACCTGCTTTACGTGTAGACTTGGTAGACCTGAAAATTTGGGCCGTAATTTTAGGGTTTTCTTGGTGCTGTGTAGAGGTATATATTGTATACAGTATACGCACATATTTATACCTATAATAGAGAGAGAATTTATATAATAGTACGACGTAAGATCCATGCAATTTGTTTGTAATAAAAGGGATGAATGTAAAATGGTTTGCTTTAGAAAGCAAAAAATTGAATTAGTTTTTATGGTTAGAGCGAACTTTAGTGTGTTGTTCAACTGATCCATCTATCATAGCAAAGCTTGTTAAATCTCTCTATCTTTTTCTTCATTAATTTGAAAATTAAGAGAGAATATGAGGATTATAAGAAAAGAATCTGGAAATATGTGGACAAAAAACATTTATTTGTAGAAGAGATAATGTAATGATTTTCCTCCTAAAATTCAGTGCTGCAGAAGATTCTTTGAAGTTGGTGTTCACAGCAACCCTAAATATTCCTATTTGAGTATTTCTGAAGTTTTCAGATTTATTGACTTGGTCAAAGCTGTGCCAAAAATATATTTTCCTTTTTCTTTTTCAGAAAATAATTCCAGGTATAATAGCTGCACCATAAACAAGGTAGGGAAGAACGTTGAAATTTTCAATTTTACATAAAAGAAAATTGTACAAGTGAGCAATTTTAAAATTACATTTTTTTGTAAATTGTGATAAAAATTTTTGAAATGTGTTGTTGAAAAGTTGTGGGACCCTTGAAAGATGTAATTAATATTAATTTTTTGACTTTGACTTTTTTAAAATTTGATTTTAATTCAAAACAAACAGGATCTAAATATGCATTTACAGTGTCGAATATTCACTTCACCTGATGTGTTTATAATAAAGGAAAAATTTTTAAAAATGGACTAGTCAAAAACAAAAATATAAAAAACTTTAAATATTTCACATAATCACCGAAAAAGAAGAAATAATATAATGTGCACAATCTATATTATTCTAAGTTACATGGAACTAATCAATTAATACTTTTAAGTATACATGTAAGTATGTAACTATGTAATTTGACTTTATTTACATGATATTTCTTTTTGGATTTATTATAATTTTTTAAGAATTTCATACATAATTAAAAGGTTGGATTGGTGTTGAAAGGTGATGTTAGCTAGTAATACTGGTGGCTTCCTCTCTGTTTCTTTAATTAATATTTATATAATATAATTAAGTATGACATTCAACAACCAACCATCTCCTCTAATTTGGCTTCTAGTCCACCTTCTTTATCCCCTTGAAAAAAGTAATTTGTAGTTTTTTATACTATTTATTTAAAGATTTTATTCTTTTCTTATTCCTCTACATTGCTTTTTTTCAAACCTTTCACACTTCTATATACAAACCTAAACCAGAAAAAAAGAAAAAAAAAAAAAAATCTGTATACATTAATACCCATCCTTTCTCTTTCATTTTCTCTTTTTAACAGTCTTTTTTGCTCTCTCATGGAGACCCCACTCTGATCTTTTTACTGGAAAACATGAGTTGAAGCCGCCTATGTTTTTCTCTCTTAAGAGTTGAATGGCTAAAGAGAAACCTTTCCTTTTCTCTATATCTTTCTTGAATCTTGATCAAAACCCTAATTCAACCGCAACCAATATAAGGCAAAAACAAGAAGTTTTCCTGCAAAAACAGATAGATCCCATTTCAGTCACCATCAATTTCATTAGATGTTTTGGTTTTTTATAGAAAACCCTTTTTGATCAAAGAGGAGGAGGAAAAAAGATGCCCAGAAAGGATTGTGTTTTTTGCAGATCAGTGCTTTAAATCATGGCTACTTTCTGGAAAATCTCTCCCTCTTGATGTCTTTTGTAGTAGCTTCTATTTAATGGTTCTGTACCAATAAGCAAAGAAAATCTCACTGCAGCAGTGCAAAATCTATCTTCATATATCTGTCTCCCTCTTGGATTATTCCTTTTTCTTATTGGTGTTCTCTCTGTAGAATTTGCTTTCTTGCCGTAAAAGAAGAGAGAGAGAGAGAGAAGAAATGGATTCTGGCAACAGTGGGAGTTTGCAGTCATCGAGTGGTGGGGATGAAGAGTACGAATCACGCGCCGATTCGATTTCAGCTTTGATGAATCATCCAACTACTCATGTTGGCCCCATTTCTAACCCACTACATCCCCAACCACCGCCACTTCAGGCTCTGTCACAACCACACCCAACAAATCCACCGGTGTTTGACCCACTTTCATACTATCTACGATTTCAAAACCCGAGCTCCCTTCCCAATCCAAACATGGTGTGGCCCAAAAGTACTACCCTAGGATCTGAGCGTAACTCCACTGATATCATCAACCCCATACTCGCTTCACCTGATTTTATGGCCTCTTTCACCAATCACTCCCCTACAGTTCCATTCTCTAGCAGTGTAAACAACCCTCCAAGTGGTGCACCACCAGTTCCTACCGATAACACAATATCTGATAATCAAAATCAGATTCAGAGCCAGAATCAAACGGCGGTGCGTAACCCGAAGAAAAGATCAAGAGCGTCCAGGCGTGCACCGACTACTGTGCTAACCACAGACACCACCAATTTCAGAGCCATGGTGCAGGAATTTACAGGTATCCCAGCGCCACCATTCACTTCTTCACCTTTTCCACGAGGTCGGCTTGATCTTTTTGGTACACCATCTAGCATGAGATCTAGCCCCTTGGACACTATACAACCACCTTATCTGCTGCGACCTTTTGCACAAAAAGTTCAGTTACCAACTCCATTTCTTTCTTCTGCATCAACATCTTCCTTGTTCAGTTCTATTTCTAACAATAATATTATCACTTCTGGTTCTTCATCTACCAGTGCTGGTACTTCAACTCCGTCCATGAACTACCAACTGGCTACTGAAAGTTCAAATCTTTCCAACATTTTCCAACTTACCAATTCAGCCATGCTAGGCTCATCAAAACCTCGAGTTTCATTGGAAATTCCATCAGATGACCATTCCCATATCAAAATTGGGGACTTGAGTGAATTCAGTTCGGGTCACGGCCATGTTAACACGACCATTTCTGGGCTTCCAAATCTCATTTCTTCGGATCAAATGGCATTGAGGGATGATAACGATGCAACAAACTGGAGCAAGAGTCCTTCAAACAACGGTGATCTACCTCAGATGACGCCTGTTAATGGTAACTACAGTTTATCACGTAATGCTACGAGCGGAAAGATAATATATTCGGCTTCTTCATCAGCAAATTTTCACGGCGAGAAGGGGCAGGATAATATTGCACCAAGAGGTGAAGGTATGGTGGAATCATGGATTTGTTCTTCAGACTAGAAATGATTATAATATAGAAAGTATGCTGGGGTAGTGATGAGAGTTATGATTAAACCATTGAAAGAGGTGAATTAGTGTGATCTTTAAGATCTTAACCATGGCTTTTTCAAAGTTAAATTACACTGTAGCACTACTTAAATTATGTGTAAATAATAGTCTGCCTTTTGGATCCATCCGTTTCATATATACACAGAGACACAGAAGTCTCACCGTGATCATATCATACAGGGAAGCTACAGATAAAAATACTGTTCTACTTTTGTTTAATACTGTGCATTTCTCTGTTTGTTTTCGCATTGCGATTTGAGAAAAAATTGATTAGAATGTGAATCAACAGAGAGAGAATTAAAAAAACAATCCATCAGTCTTTGTGAGGTATTACTTTTCCTCGTACTTTCTATTCCACAACTTGTTCTTATCTATCTTATCCTAGTACATAAAATACATCAATTATGATTAAGAATGATCAACAAAAATGTCCAACAAGGCGGCCGCCTGTAGCTTCGAGTTTACTGTGAGCGAATTTGATTCACTTTGCAGTTCCCACGGAATCTCGCTTCCTTGCAGTACAATTAACCTCCCTTATTGTTTCCTTTTTCCTGTTTGTATAGCGATCCATGCTTGCATTGTTCATCTCAACTTAGGCCCCGTTCGGAAGGGATTAAAAGTCAATTAAAATTGAAAATATAACCGTTATTGGGTCCCACTCGTCTAATAAAAGTCAACAATAACGGCTATATTTTCAATTTTAATCTGATTTTAATCCCTCCCATACAAGGCCTTAGTAATTTTTAACTATATCTGGAGCGACAGTAATTGATTGCTTTTGTTTTCCATCAGATACAATCCATCGATAAAGAGAAGTAAGGTTTTAGTCTGGGATTAAAGAACTTAGCCAAGGCTTGGTTTGTGGGGAATTTGTACTTACATAGGTCGTACTTGCTCGAGGGAAACAGGTTGGTTTAGCGGAAATTATATCTTTGAATGGTTATAATCGATTGTGTTCGGAGAATTATAATAATCCACCTAACAATATTTGGGGACACAACTTGTAAACTCCGAAATTTATTACCAATTATTTATCGTACCCTTTTGATATTGAGCATTTTTTTTTGGTTTAAAACTTAAAAAAGTCAACTATATTTGTCTCATTCCAAAATTATTTACTTATACTTCCACATTGTCTGCGAGATATAGTAAAATAGAGAGGAGAAAATTGGAAGTTGTCTTTCAAAGAGAGGAATGGTTGCCATGAGTCTAAACTTGAGTTCCTGATTTTCAAAAATACTTCTTGCAGTATCAAGTATTCTCAACATTTAGATGTCATAGAATAAGGATACAAATTCAGAAATCGATAGCAACAAAGATGAGAATTCAAGTAAAGGAAGAAGTGAACAAGTTATCAAACTAAAATCGGTCTACGGATCTATGAAGGGCCTATTGAATTAATCGAGAGAAATTCAATCGATGGAAGGGATGGATGGGAATAAAATGGATTCGGTGAAAAAATAATTAAGAAATGTTTTTCTTCAATGTTTGACATCAAATTGATTGGTGTGGATTCGGTGCAGTGCCCCAGTTAAGGATATTGCTCAAACTTGACTGGACCGTCATTACAATTGATGGATAGTAGCCTACTTTAACAAAAAGTAACTTCTCCAATAAATCGCATACGAAAGATCATAAAAGATAGAATTAGCACACGGCTTTGGAATTGTTACAGTGTATAGGAAACTCGTTAATCAAGTTGAATACAAACGGCTGCTCGAAAAGTTGAATATATCAAGTGGTGGGTGTATCAACCATTCATTTAATTTCCAACGGCATATTTTCTTCTACTTTATGTACTAAAATAAAATTAAATAAAATGGTATTAACAATTTCCCTTTTATGATGGAAGTGACAAAAAAAATCTACTAAGAAAAGGTAAAAGTAAGTAAAGAAGAGGCCAAAAGATAAAAGTGATCAATCTTTACGGCCGTATCATTTTCATTTTCATTTTCTCAAATGTAAGAATCTTTTTCATATTCTTGATTCGTGATAAATAATTATGAATATTTCTATTTCAAATTCAGATCCCACGCTTCTCTTTTGAATTTTGAAATGATTTGAAAAGTGAAAAGGAGAAAACTTTAACACGAAACAATTTCAAATCATTTTGTAATCCCAAGTTAAAATAACCATTGGAGCACAAAAAGTTTTCTTAACTACAGACAAATTTTCCATTGACACACGATTTCACGGGAGTTACTAGGCAATGAAACATTTTTAACTATTGTTGAAATTTAGTGAAAAACCACGTTCGACTTGTCTTGTATTCTGGGATTTAAAGATAATGTTTAAAGTTAATCGATTGTTCATTTCGACATTTTCGGCCAAAAATGTTCAAATAAAATTAGACTGATAATGGTTCTTTTTTAAAAAATAAAAAAGATTGATTGATTGATCTTTCAAAAAGGTACTTTATGGCCAATATTTCACTAGTTGGCATCATGATGGCCTAAGAGGGTACACAACTTGATTTATATAATCGACATGCCACTCAAAGGGGCATCACCCACACACTGCTGTCACTTATCAAATTAAAGTGGATACGTGGGAGTATCTTGTTTCTTTCTTTTTTTTTTTTTTTCCCCCTTGTTTTATTTAAATTTTTAAAACCAAATTGACTAAAATACTCATATGTCGTTTAATTCATTCAAGTCGACGTCGAAACTTTAAGAATCGTTAAATTCAATTGACATGATATACAAATAGAGTCTTTTTCTTAGGAGGGAGGTGGGCTTATCGAAGCTCCATTCTGTATATCCAGGATCATGGCTACTAAATGCTCGGTTGTGAAACCCTTTAGAGTTAAAGACAAAAAAAAATCCCTAAGTGGTCAACCCTGTTGTTTACATGAATTGTCTCGTGGACGTCAACTCAGGCCTTGTTTTATCCAACTCGAACTAAGTTGTGGAAACAACAATCCTTAAATAACAAGGACAATATAAATTGATTCAAATATAGAATTTTGAAGTCTAACTTGAAATCGTGGACTCTTAAAAATAAGTAAAAATTGCAGCTTTTTTCTCCTACCTTTCCAAAAAATTTTAAGTTATCCCTGGCTTTGTTATTCGGCACCAGACATTCTCAACCTTTTGAAAATTGAGGGAACTGGTCCCAAATAATAGATCCGTTAGACATAGCCGTCTAGTACCTCATCTGGCTTCTCACTTGACTTTTTAAACTCAAAAAATACCAAAGAGTTCCCTTGGACGAAATGTTATGACGTTTCATTTGCCATTCAAAAAAGAGACATGCTACAGGTACAAGAATTCAAATTTTTGTACCTGCCAGAACACACACAGC